TGTACTTAAGTACAGTAACGAAGTACTTGTACTTCGTTACTTCCCACCACTGGTTGTCAGCTTAGCTTAGTGTCAGTAAATCAGTTGGGACTTCACTGAACTTTTCTGTGGGTTCAAACATTCAGCTAGGGGCCAATAAAGTAAGCCGTTGTTCCCAAATGTAAACCAAAATGAGAGATTATTATCAGAAAACAGAAAGAAGTATAACCAGTTCAGGCTGGCAGCCCCGAATCCAGCCTGAAAGTTTTTCCTTTTTTTTTATTTGAGTAGTTGTTGCAACATCAAGTTAAAGAATATGAGGAACAACCAGGTGAGACGTTCAAATCAAAAGTTAAGCATTGATAGTTGTACAAAAAGTCATGTCACGACATATGAGCTGCACAGTTTAGTTTTTCCTGTGCATGGTAGGCGCAGAAATGTTTGCCGTCTGTAACGTTCAGGGTGTTTCTCTCCACTTCCTGTCATTCTCAGTGATTCAGTTATTGCTATTCTTGTTCTCACTCTTCAGTTTCAGTCTCAGTCTGGATGGATGGATAAAGTGGCTTATTCAGAACTGAAAGCCCACCAGCTGCTCATTAGATTGAGAAAATATTCTCTAGTTATGTTTGGCCATCGATTAATGGATGTTTAATTGATAGAGGTGGGCCTTTTAGAATGTTTTTTTTGTTGTTGTTTTTTTTACCCCCAAGTTTATCCTGAATCGGTTTATATTTCATTCCATCACGACACGGTGGCTTTAGAGTTGCAGAAAGCTTTGTCTTTTCTCTCAGCTTACATGCCATCTATAGTAAATCCTTTAATGCAAATTGGGGGAAGTAAGATCAACATTATTCACAGGAATTTATCTACAACAAGAAGCTGAGCTGACAGAGAGAAAGAAATAACAAAAGCGGAAGTGTATTTAGCAGAAACGATTCATTTCCTTCTGGAACCACATTTTACTCAGTGTGAACTCTGTGAAGCTATAAAACTGAAATCTTTTCCCCGTCGTTCTTTGCCAAACAGCTGGAGCTCAGTTGGATTGAACCAGCGTCAATTTTCAAGTCTTTCCATGGATTTTTAATCGGACTTCGGTCTGGACTTTGACCGGACACATTAATACAAAAACATGACACGACGTTCAGATTTTTATTTTTATAAAAACGCCTAACCCATACATCGTTTTTCTTTCACCTCACACTTATACGGTGCTTCGTGTTAAGTCAAAATGTTTGTTTTTACAAAGGAGATCAGGTCACTAAACTATTAATCTCCGTTTATCAATTTATTTATTGTTTTGCTTATGCAAGGCCACCTCTCTGCACACATTGCTGCCAGAGAAAAGGCTCTGGTCTTGCAGTGAATGCATGTTTTATAAAACACATCGACTTACAAACAAAACGACAGCGGCTGTTTGCTTCGTAAGGTGATGTAACCTGTCATATAGTGATTTAAACAGAAAAGTTTGTCCATTGTTCTGAGAAAGAAACTGGGGGGGAGGATTTCTTGCACTCTCGGTTTTAATCTAAGTGATCTACGTGTTGTTGTTTTACACACATATCTTGTGTGAGTGTTTGTCTGTGACCCACATCCTCTGTTGTCTATGATCAACAACATGGACTTATTTTCTTAAACTTTCTTTCTCTGCAGCTGGCCACTGGTTTCTATACCTGAAAATATTTCACAGTTTGCCACAAACTGGGCCTGTCAAAATAGCTAATTTTACCAGACAGTTAAATGTTCCCAGACGTTATTGCGATAAACCATAAGATTGTTGTTTTGAGAGTGTTTTCAAGTGATGGCATAATTATGAAAGAGCACATTCTCAAAGATCAATAAACTTCAAGTTCTGATGGACGTTTAACACGAAAGCTCCCCTGGCAATCATCGGTGAAAACGGGAGCTCTGTTTGGAACGAGTCCAGTTCTGGGGCAACTTCAAAGATGGCGGAGAAGGAGTTTGGTTGAATCTCGCAGCGCAAAACTTCAGCTGTAGAACGAAAGACTGATTTCCAGAAAATGGCCTGAGGAGATCAAGACCAAAACATGAGGCTTAACGTAGCAGGTGCAGTCCCACACCTGTTGTCACATGTGGGGCGCACATTTTGGTAAATAGATGACACTTTAACTTTAGAGAAGTGTATCAGGTGGACGGCTTTAAATTGCAGAAGTGTGTGGAGAGGACACATTGAGGATGAATGCACCCGATCCAAGTCTTAAAGTTTGGAAGGCCTCTATGCCATCTCCCTAATCTGTAGCTGCCTCAACAGATTTAACTTTAGTTTGAAGCTAGCTTACCATGTAGGCCGCTCCAAAACGGTATTACTAGATTCACTTAGAGAAAACATGTTTGTAAAACTAACATGTCAGATTAATCCCAAGTCTACCAGAAGTATGAAAACTACTTAAAACTGAAGCTATTATGTTTGAAATCCTCATAGGTTTAGGTGATTAATATTAAGGGATAATTTGTGTTTCATGACAAACTAACCAAAGTACTTTCAGTCTAGACTTATTACATTACCCAAAGATACATAAAGAACGTAGACATACAAAATAGAAAGTACACCCTCCGTTGATTCTAAAGATTTGTTCTTCACTCGGCACCGAAATGCTTCAATTTCAAGATGAAATGAACAGAGAAACATTTCACATTCCATTTTACTGTACATTGAACAAAGTCGAAGCTAAAATCGAGCGTGGCCTCTGTGTTGTGTTGAAGCCGTCTGAATAACTTCCTGTGCAAGATCAACAGAGCTTGTCGACGAGTCTGCACATCATCAAGTGCTTTTCATAAAGGAACAATGTGGGGGAGCATTATGCAAAAGTTACAAATCTAAACTACACATTTCCTCTTCTGATGAGTTTGTGTCTGATCTGTGTCCTGCAGGCATGGCTTACCCACCCCAGACTCACCAGGTGGTGACGGTCACCCACCAGGGTCCGGGCAGATGGAGCACCGACCTCTGCGACTGCTGCTCCGAGATGGGCACCTGTAAGTCAACGAGCGCCACCAGTTTTACTCGCTGTCCTAGCTGTCAAATTCAGCGTTCTGGCAAAGTGAGCCAGGTGTTTATTTGGATATCCTGATGTTGCAAAAACCTCCTAATACCAGCCTTTCCAAGACATCTTGTGAGAAAGAAGCCCACAGAATGCCAGAACCTCTCCCTTGCCTAACAGTGGCTCAGAGGTTCTTTTCCACATATTCTTCATTGAATTGATTTAACAAAAGGCCCACTTGTAATTTATGGGGGGGACAAAGTTAAGTCTTAGGTAAAGTCTCAGGCGTATTTAGCCGTAATAAAATAAAGGCGTCTGGACGTCTTCTCTTGTTTTTTGAAGACGTTCCCTCTCACATTCTAAAGACTTCTTTAGTTCTGAAAAAAAAAGGTTATACTTTCAAGGTTTATGAGGTGTAATCAAAAATAATTACATTAATAGGATTAAGATCCTAATTCATCACTTGAATGATTGAGCCAAATTTCCATCCAGTTCATTGTTTGTGTTGTTGATGCAACCTGTTTTAGACACGTTTAAAGGTGTTTTTTCCTACTTCCTTTCCTTTCCTGCTCAATGTTTGCAGTATCAACGTAAATCTTTGCCTTAACTTGTATTGCATGTTTGCTGATTTTACCCGTTTTAAAGAGTAGCTGAGAAATGGGCCTCTGTGTCACATCATATCTTTACCCCAGAGAAACATTAACTCACAGATGACCAGTGAAAGGTTCTGATTCTACTTTTAAGATTGAAAGACCTTAAAACCCAGCACTGTCAATGTCTGTGATTATTTGTCTTTGTGTTAAATATCCTCTATGCATGTTAATGTTATTTGTTTGAAATAAAGTAAAACAGAAACAATGGAAGCTTCTGAAACACTTTGATCAACCTAAAAAAAAGTAAAGTATGAAGTAAATTAATCCCTATCCTTTTGAAAAACAGTCACTGCTGACAGTATAGTGCCTGCAGCTGATTTTCTGCTGAGGGCAAAAAAAAAATTAATGTTATAAAAGTTTGTTTATTATTTTTTCTTCCCTTTTACTATTAACAAAATTATTTTTTGTGTCAAAACATCAAAGTGAGTGTGTTGCACTGTTGGGCCTTGTGTGTTCTAGTTGGCTGTCAGGTTCATGTGGCTTATTTATGTGGGTCAAATTTGTGCTGGTTTGTGCACTGGCGTTGTGGTTGTGTTCGCGTGGATCAGGTTAAGCGATGGTTTTGTGCGTACCCTCCTGCATGCGCCCTCGACCAGCAGCGCCAAGGTGAGAACGGAAACATGCGTAATTATTTCCCAACACACTTGTCTGCTCAAATTCAAACGCAGAAATACTTTATAAATCCCAAAGGCAAATTAAATCAATCCAGAAGTATTTGATTTAATGTTGAATTAAACAGTGTGCAGGTTTTCTGACAGCATCTGAAGCAGCTCAGAAATGAAGGATTATTTTCTGTTTACGTCAGGTGCATTCTCATCCAATCACGTGAAAGGTCCCGAGTGGAAAGTTTGTGATTACACTGACCTCTTTGTGTGAATTATCTCTATTTTCACACCATGAAGTAAAACCGCAACAATAAAAACAAATTTAGTCTGACATGAGAAACCAAAGTTCAAAATGCCTTGTCGACAAAACTGACAGCTGACAAGAACTGAATGAGGAGACTGGTCCTCATTCATCTGAACACGACGTAAAGAAAGAAGAAACTACAAGAGAACAAGAAGAGATAAACATCACAATTGTGATGTCAAACGGAAATGCATGTGTTTCCTGGAAGAGAGGAAAGCCGGAACCACTGTCTGACATCTGACCCATTTCTAATCCACTTTGTATAAAAGTGTCTGCATAAAGACAAACATTTAATGAGCTTGTAATGAGACTCTAATTGATCAAGATTTCCCATAAAAAAAATCATTTGTAAAAATTATATCGCTACAACTTTCTATTGTAATAGGATGAAAGTTTCACAGATTATAAGCTGTTGTGACCAAACAGTTCAGAAAAACTCAATCTAAAAATATTTCTATGGATTGTGGTTTTAAGTACTTTATAATGCATCCATCCAGGCCTTCTTATACACTTTATTAAGTTAAAAATATAACCAAATATCAAATAACTTCTTAATTTTCCATTTATTTCTAAGTTTTATAACATAAGAAAATTAACTTGACTTGGCAAATAACTTGATTTTTTGTCTCCTTTCCAGTCATTTTGAGGGACGTAGAAAAATTATCCAATCAGAATGGTTTGAGGGTGGAGCTGGACATCAAACCCCGCCCACAATCCGCCCCACTCCGCTTTCTGCAGCCGGTTATTTCCTTTACAAACATTCTCAGATAGTTTTTAACTAATTAATTTAAGTAGATTGAATGGTAATAAAATGGGTCACTATAGGAGGAGCTACCATCTGTTTGTTTGAAAATCAGTAGTGAAACTGATGCTTGTTGCTTAATGCAGTATTAAAATATTTTAGAAGGTAAAGTGGGAAACTCAATCATAAACTACATGTTATCCATGTTTGCCATGAATCGAAAAGATATCACCACTACAAAGTTAAACTCAAGTTTAGATTTTCATTAAATATAATCAAAGTTCCTTTAAACCATAAAACTGAAACGTCTGCTGCTAAACTTTGAGCTGCCAGCTGAACGTCTGCCAGTGTTCATACTCGTCTACTTGGTATTTTATTTCTCTTCTTGAATTACTCGGGACCAATGCGGGTTTTGCAAGACTGAACATGATCTTACTTACCTACAGATATTCATCATGCATGTGGAAGCCCGTGTAAATTCCAGCTTTCCAGGGATGTTTCATAAATTTGTCAGACTGAAAGAATGAATGAATGAATGTACTATGGTCTGGGCTTGCATGACATTTTAGCTATGAACTTTATTTTGCACACCAAAAGTTCAAAGTGCATCCTGTGCTTATTTATTAAGAACAGAAAGTGGATTTCTCATTCTTGTGTAAATATTCAGGGGTTTTATACAAACTCTTTGCTCACCTGCTCACTTCAGCTGGTCAAACCAGCTGGACAAGTTTACTTACAAACATGACAATCTCTTAAAGAAGCTAATATGTGCTACGATTAACACTAATTTGCAGCTTGGTGCAGCCTGATAGCAGCTTTACTCTTCTTCTCGCCAACAGGTTGCTGTGGGTTGTGGTGCTTCCCCTGCCTGCAGTGTGAGACTGCCAGTAAGTACGGCTGGTGCTGCCTCATGCCCTGTCTGGACTTCTGCGGCATCGTGTCCTGCATACTCCGCTCCAACATCAGAGAGCGCCACAACATTCCTGTAAGTCGGACAACTGCAGGAATACTTAGTTGTTGTGATCCAATTTTTATTTTTTATTTTTGGAGTGACCAGATCCTTAACTTCTGTTTGTCATGGCCCACTGCTCTGTATGATTCTGGGATTTCCCTTAGTTAATGGGTTTGGGTTAACTTGAGTAATTTGTCAGAAATAGATGACAGAAACAGAAGCGGTTAAAGATTCACTCGAGTCTGGCGTGGGCTTGCAGGAAAACATAGTTAACTTTATTAGGCATGGAAAACCCAGAGACCGTAACGTTCCAGAGTCAATCAAAGGGCAGTGTTTCCGTTGTAGCATTTCTAATAGAGATTTTTTATTTGAAATGCTACAATGAAATACACTTTACTGAACCAGAACAACTGTGACGGTCAGGATTCGTATGAAGTCTGTACAAGAGTTGAATTTCAATTAGATATTCTTCGGGTCAGGAAAAGCCAAACAGAAAAAAAAAAAAATCCTATTGGAGATTTAAATCTGTTTGACGTCATTGACATGAATGAAAAGTCAAATTAGCTGCTCCGATTTGAGTTCCTTTCATTTTGCTGTTAAAGAAAATGCAGATCTATTCATCTGTCAGACAATCAAGCGGCTGACATGTTTTCCTGAAACTACGTGTAGAGGAGCCACTAATTTGATCCTCATGCAAGATTTTCAGGTTGTCAGTTGATTTTCAAAACCCCATCGACCACACGACAGTGAAAGCATAGCACGCTTGGTCCTGTGGTGTGGTTTGCAGTCACACAGCAAGGACCAAACACCACACAAATCAATTTCACTCAGGAACGTTCAGATCTCAGACAAAAAACCTCGCAAATCCTCTCTAGGACAAATCTTCAGAGTAAACCAACATGGCCGACAAGGAAGAAGTGACGGAGACGGTTTGTGGAATACATTTAACAAAGAAAGAAATACTACAAAGACGTCTCTGACATCCACCGAACTCTGCAGTGTGTCATAACAGTTGCTTTTTTTTCTGTATTTTGGATTCTTTTCCGTCACCGCGCTTCCTGATTCCTTCCTGATTGGCTGCCTTTTCGTTTGTTTTCAGTGAACGCCCTCCAAACAGTCCGTCATGTTGAATAACCTTGACATCCTGCTGACCATTCTAGATCACTCTTAACTCACCACACGGCAGTAATATCTCCTAAGATTATCTTTAGAGCCATCAATGTTGTCGGAAATGGCAAATCGGGACAAAAATCTGCATGATTATTTTGCTGCGTTAACCAAGCTTAAGCCTTTGCTTCACTCTCAAGAGGAATTTCCTAAGAAAAACATTTAGAAACCTCCTTCCCCTTTCATAGTTTCCAAAGTGAACTAAAACTCCTTCCTCTTATCAGTTCTCTTTGTGCTACAAGATTGAATTTGAAGTCGGACCTGTGAGAAAGAAAAAGCTCCTCAGTTCTCCAACATGAACCAGCCAAAACGTTCCACAATCACAAACGATTTTACAATCCTAAACTATGTTTGACATGTGTGATGCTGTCAAAAGATGATTGTGTTTTTTTTTTGTTTTTGCCATTTTGTCACAAATAAATGTTCCTAAAGTTGGCTAAAAATGAACACATCATCACCTGATATAAAGACATTTTAAGTACAGATGAGGAGTAAAGTGCAAACTACTGTGAGTGTCTTTAATAAAAACAAAACATGGAACGACGGAACAATAGAATAAAATTTCCCAGTGGGACAAATTACTCCAGGATGAGATGCCGCGGTGTCGCCTTACAGCGGACGTATCTTCTCAAAAACCCTTATTATTATAGTCTGAATTAAAATGATTCTGCAAAAGAGAAGTGAGCCAAGCTGCTTCCGCTGTTACTTAAAAGTCTGAAGCATTGTCAGTTGCTGGTTATAATTTTTTCACTCAGCCTCACGTCGTTTCAATGTTATTGTTTTTGTCAGTGTACAAAATGATTTTAAAACCATTTTTGATCTGAAACATTTAGACGTGACAAAGTAGCAAAATCAGAAGAAATGCTGAGATAATAAATACTTGCTCCCTGATTTGTTGTTTTGTTGCTTCAAACATAAAAGCTTTTAGCATAAAATAGAGGATCTAACCGATAACTCTGATGTTTCAACCTCTGAGTGCGTAATGCCACAGGTTTTGTTTTCTGGCTCTTTGTCAAATTGAGCCATCCACATGTCGGCTTCAGCTAAAGTCGTGGTACAACGTCTATCGGGCGTGGTGATAACCGGCAATGAGTCTTTTACATCTTCATGGCGGAAATTTGACTCCTGGGAGAGTTGAACGCTGTTTTCTCCATTTATGGATAATAGCTCTCACTGTGGTTCTCTGGGATCCCAAAGCTTCAGAAGTGACTTTGCAACCTCTTCCACACTAATGGATATCTGCGTCTCCTTACATCAAGGCACGATTTGTAGCTTTGTTTTTAGATCTTTTGGGGCTGTGTCATGCAGAAGTGATTTCTTGTTCTGGCAGCTCTGATAGAAATGGTTTCAGTTTAGGTCAGTAAAGCTTTACTCAGATTCAGAAACACTTTATCAATGCCAAAGGAAAATTAAATGTTGTTACTCGTAAGTTTCTTCAAGGAGTTGTTGATGTTCATGCACGGTTTCCCGCAGAAAACTTGCTAAACCCGCTGGTAGGAGCTCTGGGGCAGCCAGCATGTTTTTGAGTTAAAAATGTTTAAGGTTGACAGGAAATGTGAAAATATGACCAGCTGATTATGTGTTATTGGAAGACATTATTTGCCAAATCTAAACACAAACCGTAAAGTCTTAAAAAAGGGACACAAAAGAAAGTTGTTCATGTCGTTTAATCTGAATTAAACAATTCTTAGCCTGGTGGAGATGCAAGTAAGGCCTGGTAACCCGCCAGTGAGGAGGAAGCTTCTCCTGTAGCAGTCTGCATTACTGCGGCTCTGAACAAGCCTCTGACTGACGACACTCAGCAGCATTTTATAACAAGGATCCTCAGGGTTGTCTGTGATTTTCTCAGTGCTATGAACAATCCTATTATTATTATTATTATTATTTAAAGACATGTGCAGCAATTAAAATGCATTAAAAAACACATCATTATAAACAAACAAAGATCAGGAATTAGGTTATGAATCCAGCAGAAGTTCAGCTTTAGGAAGAAAAGTGTTGTTTCTTCTCCTCTTCGTCTGCAGCCTGGCATCTAGAGGGCAGCCACGGGTGTAGCTTGTGCTCTGGTTAGCTTTACTCCCTTAATAAATGAATTATCGAATTGAAAACTGTATTTTGAATTTATTCAGCTGGTCTTTGTCTCACACCAAATAGAATAAGGTTGACAAGCTGAAACATTCAAGTGTGACAAAAGCCAAGCTGTGCGTAGCTGCAAACTGGTTTCCTGTGATTCTGACACTTTATTAACGAACAATCACACACACACACACACACACACACACACACACACACACACACACACACCTGAATAACTTAACAGAACCAACAGTCTAAGACTCGCAGGAATATAAAAACAGAAAAACTAACTCTGGACCGTTTGATACAAAAATTAACCCAATCAAGCTTTACTCCTTTTAATTATTTTTTAGCCTACTTCATGTTGTCTGATAGGTTCTATTTAAATTACACAAGATGTACCCAAGATGATTGAACAAGATGGAAATTACTTTTTAATGTCAAGGATGTTAAAGAATAAAAAAATGAATTATTATTTGACTTTTTTTTTGTTTGATATCAGAAACATTTAAGTGACAGAAGAGATCTTTGAGGGAGCAAAAACTGAAATCACATTTTCTTTTCCTCCTCAAATTGAGTTAAAATGATCTAAATTGAGAATCACGAGTCAGTGTTTCTGGGTGAATACACAAAACGCAGAGATAAATGAAAGCAATTGCGTGCCAGGTGTTTTTAGAGAGTTGCTGCCAAACTGACAGAGCATTGCGGTAATATTTCCTGCAACCCAAACAGATATTCTTTGATCGACATGAACGCTACAAGTGCAGAGAGGTGTGGAAAAACACTCCTAGAAACAGAAACTGAACAGACCTGTTTTAAAAAAAGAAACGGTTTATAAATGAACCAGAGTAAGCCAGTCCTTTTTACTTTGCGATTTCCGTTAAATGAGCCACATTTTTTATAGTCCTCTGAAATGTCTTCAGGATTTATGGAGAAAAAATTTACATATTATTACCGTAATTCTGAGCTTTGGTGAATTTGGTTATAAAAGGCTCCAACGAATTCAAGATGAAATCTTTACACTCATCAACAGGCTGCCCGTTTGACTTTAATTAGTAAAGAGTGGAAGATCAAATGAAAGAGGATTCATCTATTGAAGTCTGTTGGCGATAGTTTCTTAGAACAGGATCTTGCAAATTCAAATGAAAAATAAATAAAAAAATACATAATAGTCAGACGCAAGTACAACATTACAGCAGTCTGACTGCTGTGAGGCAAAACAGCAAAATCTAACCTGGTGTCCCTTAATCTCTTTCAGAGTTTCCTGATGCATTTACTGACAGAAAAAAGTTTGAGTTTTCAGTTTTTGATCGCTGGTGTATGTAGGGACAAGATCCATGAATGCTTGAAAACAGCTCAAATCTGTGAATACCTCTACAAATACTCCAAGTGGAGCAAAATTAACACCAAAAATATGTTAATGTGCATCAATAAGCACAATGGAAACTGTCTGCTGCCTTCCTTATTTCTGCTTCTGGCCTTACAGCCAATCAGCTCCAAGGAAAATGAATGGAGTTCCTGGATTGGCTCCATTTCCTAGATATTTAAGATCACCAAGCTTCATTTTCTTTAGAATATCAGATATGCTCCACAAATCCACAAATGAAAGACATCTTAAATAAAAAAAAGAAAATTTCAACTAAACTCGCTTTAAGGCATAAAAAAAAAAAAAAAAAATCATGGTTACATTAACTCATGTAGCCACGCTGGCTGATGAAAAAGCAGAGAAAGTTGTTTAAATATTTTCCGGGTAGATGTGGAAAAATAAAACGAGGCTTGTCTCCATTAATTTGAATATTGTCAACAAAGTGGATGTTCTGGGAATTGGTCTGACTTCCCCCGTCCTGTTTCCCGTCCACAGGGCTCCGGCTGCGACGACTGCTGCAAGGTGATGTGGTGCTACCCCTGCGTTTGGTGCCAGATGAACCGAGAGCTGAAGATCCGCGCCCGCAATCCGTCGGGCACCACCGTGGTCACCACTCAGGTCGGCAGGATTTAGCCTGCAGACGTGGAGGTGGCGTCACGTGGTTCATACATTTCATATTTTGTCATTTCACCGTCATGCAGAGTTACTGATTGGAGTTTGTTTTGATGCAAAGAGAAGCGTTTCTGTTGAGCTCTGTTAGTGTGAATGCATTTGTTTCAAGTCAACTTTGTTTTTTTTTTTTTTTTTTTTTTTTCCCCCGTTTTTTTAAGATCTTCTAGGATTTGAGTGCCACATTAACGAGTTTGATATTTTTCTGATCTTTGTTACTTAATAAAATACTTCCTTCAAGTCTCAAGAACGCTGTCACTTCTTCTTTTTTCTCCTGTCAGATGACGACCGATATCCACGTATGTCAGAAGGTTTTATCTCATGATGCCTTTGAGCAATGGGGTTTTGCTGACAAAGCGTATTTATAAGCTTTTCTGTCTCCAACCAGAGTATCAGAGTTTGGGCTTTAGCCAAGGTTTTGAGTTGGAAATGTTATTTTAACCTGAATTCTTTCTTCTTATCTGTTATTTTAATGTACTCACAGATTTCCCACATTGTCCTGAAAACTGTTGAGCTACAGCAGTTTTAAAAACATTGTAGATAATTTCCCTCATTTTGGATAAATGTGGGAAAACAGAAAATAGAGGAAGGAAAACACCAGACAGTTTAAGAATCACACTGGTTCATTTGCTGCATCAAACCTTGACTTTAACCATTTAGCTCCCAGGATCTCACTTTTTTGCGTTTCTGAAAACCCAGAAGTTTGTTTCCTAACAAATTCTCTTCACACTTTTTGAGTTTTCCATGTTGTGTCACCAAACACACAACAAGCTTGAATGTATTTTGATAGGCTTTTTTCTCCACCTACATAAAAGAACCACAGACAACGTATATCAATCTTCAACCAGGCTTTTGCAAAAGGGAGAAAATACAGTAAACTTCTTCTCCAAGCTGTTCACTGTATGTTCTGAAAACCTCTGGTCAAAGCTTGTCTTTATTATCCAGAAGGGGAGAGGGAGGGAGGAAACAGAAAATACTTCTGCACGCAGGCAGTTTCACACGTAAGGAGTATTCCGGTAGATAAGGATTCAAGTTTTGTCTTTTCACACAGTTAATTCTTTCACATGAGGGCGGAAAGGAAAATGGGGCCTCCTGTCATAGATAATCATGTTACAAAGACATTCTTGTAAATATTGGGAAGACAGGGTTCAACCTAATATCTTAGGTTTCACACACAGTAGAAAGCTAAAACCCTTTAAAAAACAAACTAACTAACTACTACTGTAAAAGTGATAACACAATATTTCTAACATTTTATCACGGTTTTATGTTACAAATCAGAATCTGAATAGTGCGGCATGAATTTATATTCAGCCTCTGCTGTGGCCATTTATGTTGAATTTTTGTAAGTCTTGAGTTCTATCAGTTTAGTTTTTCTTTGGGCAATTAGGAAATACTTAAGTTACTTTAGAACCAAAATCTGTAATTCATTTTTGTATTTGAAATTGTTTAGATTTCTTTGATAACTTTTTGACCCTCCCATTAATTTAAGTAATTAAGAACCCACTTGGTGTGTGGTGGGGGTCCTTTTGTTTGGCAAATATCCGGTGTGATGACAGGATGTTTTTGTAAAATGATTTTTTTTTTTTTTTTGCGGTCATCTAAGTTCCAAAAACAAAAATTTCCAGTGAAGGCCATGGGTGACAACAGGTGGCTTGGTTCTTGCGCACACTTTTATGAACTTGAAACATCAGATTAAGCTAATTTTCATTTTCAAATAAGTTGTGAGAGATTTTTATTTTGTCTATAATTTTTGCAAGAAATAAAGTATGTGTGTTTTTCCAAACAATCAAGTCGGAAGTACGTGCAAGAACCAAACCACCTGTTGCTGCTAACGTTTCTACAACGCTAGTGCTTGCCAGTAATTGGGGAAAAAAAGGAAGCGAATATCCACTTTTAGCTCTGCTACTTTCATTTCTGTCTTCTTTCACAGTGCTACTATTAAAAAGTCTGTTAGCTGTTTCTTTTTGTGGCGTAGTGAGTAAATAACCTTAGCTACGAAGAAGAGGTTCCACCATGGACAGATGTGGGACGGTGGAAACTTAAGCAAACACAGAGAACAGACCGCAGAGATACTGCAGGGAAGATTTTACTGTTAAACATTTAAGAACTGTTGGTGAGAAACTCTGGATGTTTCTTTATGGGTTTGTAAAACAGACATAAAAAGGAGGGAGCGCACCCACATTCGTCCTGACAGAAACACATGGAGCTGAGGCTTGTTTCTTTATAGGCTTATAACTGAAATGCAGCTGGAAGACTATAAGTAGTGACGTGTTTTACTTGAGACCTTGAAAACATTAACTTTATCTCATATGCTTGTAAAACGAAGGAACAAAGTCGGTAAATGATTAAGGGTTGACCTCGCTTTCATATTTTATCTGGACTTTTGTGCTCCAAACAAGTGTTGACACCTGGGCGTTGCTGTGTGACTCTTTTAAGTGTTACTGGAAATTCAATGTTTCAGCCTTTGATAATGACATATTTCTGCCGTGACGTCATTCTTAACCCTTGGGGTGGTTTATTTAGGTTTCTATTTCTCGTTTAATATTTTACTGGAGAAACGAGGAGGAGAGTTTCAGCAGTAATCAAAGCAAGATGTGAATTCTTTTATTTTCTTCCCCCATAAAACGCCCCTGAGCTCAAACATAATTCTGCAATGTCAAAAAAAAAAAAAAAAAAAATCAAGGAAAAAAAAAAGGCTTTTGGATTTAGGAAGAAAAAAAAATAAGTCATGAGTTCTGTCGCTGTTGTTCATGTTTCAGTCTGAGTTGGACAATTTTCCAGTAATCTGACTAATTATTGCAGGCGCTAAAACAATAATACTTTTTTTTTCTTTCATGCGATTTGATCTAAAGCAAAACTTCTCATCAGATTACGTTGCCTTCGGTTATAAACAAAAAGAACGTCAACGTCTTCATAAAGGTTCCACGTTAACTTTCTCTTTCCTGCCAAGTGAAACTAACATCTGGAAGAGAAACTATGTGAAAGTTGACGCTTCACTGATCCAGGAAGTGTGTTCGTCCCTCTGCTCATCCCCCTCACTCTCTGGTTTAGCTTACAGAGGGTTAGTTACACTTTAAAGAATCACGCCATTCTTTCAAAACAGGTAATCAAAAATCAGGGAAAATCCGTTCACATTGGAACTGTGAGTTTCAGTGAGAAATGCTTAGATGTTGACCTATGAACATGAATAATTTAATTTTAAAATGGATGAAATTTACTTTGAAGTAGGTCTTATTTAGAATGAACTGGTACATCACCACAAACTCGCTGACCTGTATTTTAGTCTCCAATCACCAGAGGGCGCTATTAGCCAAACTGTACTTTTGACATACAAAAAGTACAACTAGAGCAAAACATGTGCTGGCCATCTACTCAGGATTTTTAAGCTCTATTTCATGATCAACAGCCATCATCAACACTTATGTTCACTACTTCAAAGCAGTGCACAAACTAGCACAAAGTCTTTTTTTTAAATAAAAGTTCAGGGGGCTGTTTAACCTTTTGACCTTTAAACTTTCATTAATATCTTCAAAGCCAAAGCAGTGGGAATCCAGTGTTTGATTTACTGGATTCACACCAATTTTGTCTGATTTGAAGAAGCTGGGGAGGGTGGGATAATTTCACTCAGGTGTGGACAAACTCTATTTTAATAGAATCTGTCTTTTATGATATCTTTTAAAAGGATGCTGTTGATTTTTATCAGTTTAATGGGTTTCTCTTAAACTCTATCTAAATTATATTGATAAAGGAGAGACAGATATCTCTCTATCTAGAGTCACACAGGCACACCCGCCTGAAGGAAACAAACCCAGTATATCCACTTGCAATCTATTGGCTGAGAGGTTGCCAGGCGACGGTACTTTGGGAGCAGAGAGGTTTGCAGTCGGGAATTTGATCCGAGCAGAGACCAGTTTTGAGCGCAAGGAGAAAGGTTTGAGAAAGAAAACAATGAAAGAGAGCAGAAGTTTGGAGTACAAGCTTTGTAAGTTTTGAGAGGAAAATCCTGCTTCCAAAATGAAAATGTAAGCACAAGTATTCAAAGTGTTGAGAACAAAAGACATGAAATCCTGCTTTCAGACTGAAAAGTTGCTCTCTCGAATTATAGCAGAAAAATTCCCCCATATTTGTGCATTTAATTGAATAAAAGCCCCAAAATGGTTTAACAACTTGATGAATGTGTTTTACATCACTTGCCCTGAATGTGTTTTAATTTGGGAATTACTTGAATTTACTTTGCTGCGTCAAATATGCACACCTATATCTGGATAAACGTCTCTTAACAAGTTCGACAAACAATCTACAACCTGTAAGAGTCTTGCAGGATGATCCTGTTTGGATATTCCACCATGTTTGGTGCAACTTAGCTTATTACTGATTGGTTTTCCTGCGCTGTCCTGATTTGTGTGGAAGTTCAGATGTTTAGAGCCACACCTCTAATTACCCAACAGCCAACAGCTCACCCGTCCACCATGCTTTGTCTTCTGACCCCTGCCGCTTCACGTTACACTCTTTCTCTTCCTCCTTTTGATCTGATGACCCTAATCTTTCTTCACAATACTTCCTCTTCTAGTTGCTGTATTATTCCATCCTGTTTGCCCAATGTGGCTGAACAGGACCTCAGGATGAATGAGATAAAGCAAAAATAAGTTAAAATCTTAAAGAATCACCCAGGAAACTGCCGGAACATCATCAATGCCCACTATTTGAAGCCAGTTTCACATCACAGTGGCTGATCTGGATCATTACTGTTTAAACTTTACCTTTAATAACATAAAGTTACCTAATTTTTAAAGTGCAATCAGTAATACTTTTATAACAAATTTATATCAGTAATGATTTCTTGGTTAATGTCAAGTTGTCATAACAAAGACATTTTGAATAATGTCAACTTTGTATTAAAAGTGTCATAATTTACCGAATGACGCTTTATGACAACAGTCATAAATATTCATGAAGGCTTATTCATGATCATAACAGGTGTTATGTCATGTTTATGACAGTGTCATGTCAGTCTTATTCACCCCCCTTCAAATAAAGTGGTACCCTTTGTTTTTATGCCATATGTTAATGCTTTTATGTGATTCTTTATTTGTGCTTTATATGTTTTTTTCCTGTAGAGCAGGACGAATGGTGCTCTGCAAATTTGTGTTGACTTGAAAAGATGTATGTTTGGAAAAATATCCAAGGCACACATCAAAACAAGTTCTGATTTAAATAAAGCAGAAAAGAAATTAAGCAAAAACATTCATTGAAACATGAACAACGAAAACAGAAATAACCACGTTCTGGGTTCATGTGTTGCTGTCAGTCCTTAAGACGATTTACTAAAATCACAAAAACATGTTGATCATCTTTCAAAATTTCACGAAAAAAAAGCAAAACATAAAAACACTTAAAGCATTTTTTTTTTTTTTACCGTAACACTTGTAACAAGAAAGAAATTAAATTTTAGAGCACATCCTCATATGCTATTTGCTTCAACAGGTAGGTATGAAATGCTGCCCCCAAGTGATCTCATATTTAATATGAGATGTTTATTTGGCAGGACTGAGAATAATTTTGTTGATGTGTCTCATCGGCTAAGTTAAATGAGATCACGAGATAAAATACAGCTCATAATTTTTCATTTCAGGGGCGAAAAAAGCACAGATCTGCAGAGGAGCATCAAAGTAAAAGGTGGAATAAAAACAACTTTCATTGTGGTTGTGATTCTTCCACTGCTAACAAAATTAATGAGTTTTTTTGTTGTTGTTTTTTTTGCATTTTTTTCTGTTGATATCTTGGTTTTGCTGCTTCCACAGCTAAAAATAATGATTTGAAAGTGAAAATAGTCTAAACAAAAAAGACAAATTTATGGCTAAATTGAGTCAAAACTTTGTAGGAATATTTAAGGTAGCAATTAAAACTACTTTGAAAACATGCTTAGAGGTGTGTAATATAATAACATGTGAAATATCAACACTATGAATGTTTCATGTTGATAAATAAATACATGTGTGTGTATGTGTGTTTTGAAAAATACGTCTTGGGTGCACAGTGGTGCTCGTGATTACCTTGCAGCAAGAAAGAGCAGCAGCCTGGTGTTTTTCTGCATAGACCTAGTGGTTTCCTCTGGCTTCCTCCCACAGTCCAAAAATATGTTAGCTCAATCGAATACGATAAATCACCATAATATGTGTGTGTGTGTGTGTGTGTGTGTGTGTGTGTGTGTGTGTGTGTGTGTGTGTGTGTGTGTGTGTGTGCGTGTGTGTGTGTGACGGACAGGCGACCTGTCCAGATTTTACACCGTAATCCCTCACCAGCAGTACCCAGCATGGACCAGCAGGTCCATGGAGAACCGATCTGGAAATCTAATTTTTAGAGAAGAAGCAGCGCCCCCTACAGGAATAAAGAGCATGTTTGGGCTTCGAGGGAAAAATAAAGAAATAAAATGTCTTTTTGCTCATCTCGATGATTTTATGTATTTTGACCATGAACAGACCATCAAAACGAACTTAAATCTCCACTCTACCATTTTCTAAGATTTTTTTTTTTCTAAATGAGAGCTTTTGTTTATTGTTTCAAACAATTTATGAACTTTGTGTGTTCGGTGGGAGATAAGAGGGGCATAAAACTGTAAAGAGTGCTTATAGTGAGGTGTGTTTTGGGGTTGGGTCATAACGAGGCAGCCATAAAACCTTTGGTCACAAAGGGATTGTCTCTGCAAGAAGGCAGGTCCATATCATTGCTCCATATTCTTACAACTGTTTCACTTCGTCGTTTTTTATCAACTCACGCTAAAAAGGTAAGAAAAAATGATCCGGAACACCAGGTCAAAACTTTCATAGCAGCTCGTTTTTTTTTTTTTTTTTTTTTTTTTTTTTTTTTTTTTACCGCTGAATGTGTTCGTTTTTACCGGATTCATTTTCAGCGAGGTTTTTGTGCGACACGACACATTAACGTCGCACAAAAACATTAAACATCAACTTAAATATTATAGTCTTCGCCAAAATATTATCTATGGCTCCTTTTTTTCACATTAATGACCAAATTTACAGATCATATGTAAATACTTTTTTTTATTATAACTATTTTGACTAGCAGTAAGTCTAACTAATCCACCTGTTTTAGTCAATTAAGCTAATGATGGATGTTAACTAGTCGTTGCTTTTGAATCTAAATGATTCTAAAAATAAAAACCCGGAAAGTAGATAAAATCGACCTCCAGTGAAAATGTTTATATTTGCGGGTAGACTAAAAAAAAAAAAAAAAAAAGCAAAGGGATTCATATCGAATAAGAGAAATGAGTATAACCAGCTCAGTTTAGCTTCGGTGAAAGGATGAGAGGAACCACTGGGTCGGTGATTTTCTTCAAAGTGAATTGAGTGAATATTGGTTAATATTACCAGCGACACACTTGCTTCATTTACTCCTTCCGTGTTTTTATTTGCCTTTAGCTCCTCCTGTATTCCTTTTAATCGATCTATTTTTGACCATTCAAATATATGATCAGGACAGCTGTGACTTTTACTTTTTAACACTTTGGTAACACTTTAATTGGCGGGGTGCATAGGACATGACACTGTCATAATCATGACGTAACACCTGTCACGGCCATGAAGGGGTCTTTATGAATGCCTAAGACTGTTCTCATGTAAATAAGTGACACTTCGGACACTTATTTACCAAAGTGTCATTCAGTGAATAATGGCACTTTTAATGCAAAGTTGCTTTAAAAGTTGCATTGAAAGTCCATTAAAAATGCCAACTTTGCATTAAAGTTGCAAAATCATGCAAAGTTGGCATTTTTAATGGACTTTCAATGCAACTTTTAGAGCAACTTTGCATTAAAAGTGTCATTATTTACCGAATGACACTTCATGACAACTGTCATAGTCATTCATAAAGTCTTCTTCATGTTCATGACAGGTCATATTTATGGCGGTGTCATGTCATATGCACACCCCTTCAAATTAAGTGTTACCAAAATTTTTCAACTTTTTAAATTTAAGCTATTATAAAGTCATCATTCAGCTCGAGGCGCCATCTGAAAATGCAACGTTCATTTAGGTCCATTTTGGCACTGTGCACTTCGCCATTTCCCTCAAAATATTCTGGTCCCCATCAACGTCATGAAATCAAACAGCTGCTGTAGGTTTATCTGCTGCCAAACTATGATGTGAATCTCCTGTTTTAACACAGATATGGCGGCAGATCCAGCCGAGCAGCTTTAGGTTTTCCTTATATAAACCGGATTCCTGTGCGTTAGTAGTCTTTGTGAATCGGTGATTTATAAGTAAACTGCACTTAGTTGATTTTAATTCTCCTAAACTGGTGTTTCTGCGTTATTTCAGCCTCTTCAGGAAATACCCCATTAAATATTTAACATTCAGAATGAAGTTTGGCAGGAAATGCAACCGGCCTGTCCAGATTACACCACTCCATTATAGTCATGCTTGTTCATGCCTCTCATATTAAGCTCCTGACACAAAGACTTTGAACTCTTAATCTAGTTTTTACTGCCGTTATTTGTTGTTGTGTTTTTTTTTTTTTTTTTGCTCTTCACTTTCACTCTACGTGGGTCTGATTGAAGCATTGAAAGCTTGGCTCGCTAAAAATGAGATGAAATCTGATCAGCTGGAAATGCTAACAAATGGAAATGCTAAAAAGATCAACTTTTAATCAATGTTTAAATGATTGGTGTGGATATAAAATCTGTTGTTTGCTTGAGTTGCAAATCAAAAGTATCCAAATCTTGTGTCAAAACGTGAAGTGCAGCTATATCACGAAGAAGCAACACAAAAAACGAGATAAACACCATTAAATTCTGAATTTGTTGAGTGGAGAGAAAGCTTTACAAATTGAACTTTTCTTGTCTCTCTGTCATCGTTTTCATAAACCGCAACTGCTGGAATCGGCGATAAGCTGATTGGAAAAAAACAAAACAAAAGAAACCTGGTTTTAAAATGTTTTCAAAAATATACAGTGTATATACAGGACATATGTTCTACCTTGTTGACTTTGGAGATGGTTTTATTTATGAGTATCAGAATAAAAGGGGAATGATACACTTTTCAGTCCCTTTTATTTGAAAATATTTATATAAAGGAGGTGTCATTTTTTTATACGATTTGCAGTGATTCACTATTTTGTATCAGTTCATCACACTCAATCCAAAACCAATATATTCTTTAGCAGATTTTAACGTGAAGTGTAAAAAAAAAACACACTCCACAGATTCCACCATGTTGGAGCTTAATATGTAAGGATGGAGTCAAAATATTGGTGGCTTACATCCAAACAACCCTACAGTTCACAGGTGCTGTGCTTCTTTTACCATGTCTGTAAAGCTCTCTGAGTATCACAGACAGAGATTGTGTATAGATCCGCCTAAAACGTCTCAAAACGCAGAATGTGGGGTGGCAATAAGATGCAAAGCTCCAAATTAAATGAATTTTATTTTCTGACGTGCTTATGTCGACTCTGATTCTTCCAGACATGGCTTACCATCCGCCCTCGTCCAGCCCTGGGAGCTGGAGCACCGGCCTGCTCGACTGCTGCAAAGACACCAGCGGCTGTGAGTTAGCGCGACAAATTTACTGAAATATTCCCTCAAATTTGAACATCAGGAGCATCAATTAGTGAGCAAAGACGTAACGGATAGCAGCCTCCACGTTGATGAAGCTCTGCTGGAAAAGATGTGGCCTTTTTAAAAAAAAAAAAAAAAGAAAAAAAAAAATTGCACTTACATTGTTTTAATTCTTTAGACATTTCTGACCTTTTTATATGAATCCAGTTTTTCAGTGGGATTTAATGTGAATGAAAGTGTTTTTATTGTGGAATCATGACAGCGTGACAAATCCCTCCCACTCAAATTTCTCTACAGAAGATTTTATTGGACTCACCTCTCTGCTTTCACACCTTCCAACTCCAGGTGCATCTGATTTTCACTAAGATAAAGAGATGTTCTGACTTGCCCCGTTGCCTTGGAAAACCCACCCGTTTTCCAGAGAAATGTCTGTTTTCCACCTCTTCACGGTTTGACGTGACCTGCATTGGTAAATTGATTTATTTAGGGGACTTTTTACTAATAAAAACAACATAAGAGCCTTTAATTCAGGGTCATTTCAGCAACGTCAACCTTTTGAGACAGGCTTTTTCTTCTCAGTGTGCGGCTGAAACCACTCACCGATAGACAGCAGACAATTTCACATTTAGTTCAACAACCTCTATAATACGGTGGCGAACCAGTTCAGCATTAAGAGCCAAATGAAGCTCATCATCACCGTAAAGATCCACACAACAATTTCAAGATTAGCTTTATACCACATTGCTGCTGAAACGGCAGCAACGGCCGACAGAAAGCTGCTACCATGGAAACAGATTTTATTCTTAAATGATCCAGCTAAAGTCTCTCCGACAACTACTGCAGACTTGTAGCGCTAGCTTTTGTCAGTGCTGCCTTCAGTTAATTTTGGTATCGAAGAGCCACCCGCGATCCGTCGAAGAGCTGCAGGTTCGCCGCCCCCTGCTCTGTCTAGTTCTTTGCCGACTTCGGCTCTTTCTGCTTTTTCGTGTCATGCTTGCATGGAAATTTAGCGGTTCATTCTTACGCAAACCTGTGAAAGTTTCAGCAAAGAAATTTTGTGTTGACCTCATGCTGACTGTACTTTATATGTGAGGCTTTTGTTTTCACGCCGTAATGCCAAATCACAGAAGTAACAACAACACACACGGTCCGACATGGGAAACCAGAAACTCCTTCGCTGTGTTTGTTTGCAGACAATATGCCAGAGAAAGAAAGACGGCTCTTTTTCTGCTCTTTCTCTGGAAGAATCTGCGGCATGAGATGATGAACTAAGCAATGCTGTTGTGAAATTTGGCTGTCAACTCGCTGTTGTGAAATTTGGCTGTCAACTCGCTGTTGGTGCCCAGAGGTTTCAAAAGATGAGCATATCTCCGGTAAAACAGGCCGAAACGTCGAGCCGCAATCAGATAAAATGGCCCGTTCCGACAAACTTCTGTTGAGATGCGCACTTATCGTGTTTTCCAAAAAGTCACGCTTTTGTTCAAGAAGTAAACACTTTCTGTACTTCTGTAATTTGTCACATTACATTTACAGAAGGAACAAAGGTAACAAGGGGTGCATTTGATGTATTTCAAGTGATTCAGGTGGTTCTGCTGTTGGAAGACAAACGCCTCAGGTTTGCATATGAAGCTTCTCTCGTTTTATAAGTGGACTGGTCAGGTTCCTGCTGCAGAAGACCAACCCCACATCATGCCGTCGCCGCCACCATGCGTGACAGCAGGGATGGCTTACCTGATAAGGAACAAACTGAACAAACTAAAAGAGCTTTATTTTACTTTTATTAGACTGGATAGTTTTGGATCTCCTGATCTGATTACATCTAACATTTGTTTACGTAAATTCACCTGGCCAGCAGAACGCATCGGCAGTCGGAAACAAGGAAACATTGGAGCTTTTATCCCTCGGTTTGGTCGTGTAGTTGGGCTAATGGAGGGCGTGACCTTCTGCAGATTCCAGATGCAATCAAGACTGGAGGGTCTACAGACAATTTAAGTGAATTTATTGACTGATTTCTGCTCTGTTCTGAGATGTCAACCATAAGATCTTCAAGATTTCAAAATCTTTCCCAACTTACTAACTATTTTAATAGATTTTAGAAAAAGGTCGACACGCCTCCAGGCTCGTTCAGTGTTTGAATGATCATCCAGCTCATCGATAGACCCTGATTTGCTTCATTTTTGGGCGATCGGCCGACTCTTGAGAGAGAGAGCTGATCCTCCAGGATGTGCATGGCTAACAATAGTCTCCCTAAGTTGGCAACATTTCAGACAACTCTGACAGCGTCAGATATAGAAACAATAAGCCTGTTCTCATGACATAATTTGGCTTTCCATGAATTTCTAAGGAATTTGAAGGGAGCGGATGTGTCAGACTGTTGTGAGAAAATGTAGAGGTGTTGTGAAATTGACATTTCAACATCCTTGAAATGCACCGTGGGATTACTGTGGTCTGAACACGTTTTGCCTTGAATGGTTCCCAACTGTTCTTAAGAAAGAATATCAGCAGAAATGAAGACAGTCGATGCAGTGCAGATGTGATTATATGACTTCAACTTGGAGCGACTTTATTATATTAAAACTAAATTTGTTTTGTTTGGTATTTTTGACATTACATTAAACTAGTAAGGCTTTTGTTCTTTTTGTTTTACTCAAATACAGTGAAATTAAAGCTTCTTCTGGGTAAAACTAACTTAGGTTTATATCTAATCATGTATCGGAGTGGCCTAGTCAAAGAAGAAGACAATGAAAAACAGACAAAATGGTTGCATCTGGTTCATCACATGTTAGTTTCTAACTTTTCAAAGATGAAGTCCATTCTGTGGCCTAAATCAGCCTGATAAGGTTATCAGACATTAAAACGTTCTCCGTCTCCCCTGCAGGTTTGTTCGGGTTGTGCTGCTTCCCCTGCTTGCAGTGCCAGACTGCCAAGGAGTACGGCTGGTGCAGGTTCATGCCCTGTCTGGACTTCTGCGGCATCGTGTCCTGCATACTCCGCTCCAACATCAGAGAGCGCCACAACATTCCTGTAAGGCCACTTTGTTGTTTCGACGCTTGCGTTCACTTTTAGAGCAGCTTCTCGTTGCTTTCAGATGGTTTTGCCAGGCCTTATCAGTGCCTGTAGCGACTTCTCCTGACTTTAAACCGGAGTCAAACAAGTCACGTCTCACCGGTTTCACGAAACCGGTGAAACATCATGTTTCCTCTTCGACAACGGCTTTGATTCAGATGTTTCCCTGGTTTTACAGGCCCAATTTAACCTGATGGGTCTTTTCAGCCTCAGCCAGGCAGCATTATTTGTCTGCGAAGGTGTTTTTTCATTGACTTCATTTTTATTTTTGTGCTTGATCGTTTTAATTCATATAATAATTTTCCTAGTCACTGCATCGCTTTGTCAAATCCTCATTCTTTCACATGTGGGTGAGGAGGAAGAGCAACTCAAGGTGCTCCAAACTTAGAGCTAAAGATAGGAAAATACCTGCGTTTGTCGCAGAGACACACATCTTCCACTGAAGGTATTTAGGGTTAGGGTAACGGTGGGTCGGAGTTGATTTATGAGCTCCAAAGTTTATGTTTCTGTTGAATTAGTGAGGTGACAGTTTCATCAGTCAGGCTTAAAGATGTTTTCTTTACCCCTCTGAAAACTTGTATAACTGCCTATTTTAAAAGTTAAGTCACCAAATATAGTTAGTAAAATCAACCTAAGCTTGTCGGAAACAAGGAGGATAACTACTCTGATAGGTTCATGTTGTTTTGGATGGCTTCATAAACCCATTAATAAATGAAATCAGGATTTCAAAACTTATTTTCCTGGTCACTCTGGTTGTCTTTGTGCCGTTAGAATGAGTTTGATGATCCAAAATCTTTTAGAGTGTGCATCAAGTTATTCATATCGTCGTAAAGTCGTCCAGAGACCCAGATCAGTTCCAGTAACATTGTTTTTGTTTTTGTTTTAACAATGCTTTGCTTTTTCCTCCCTTCCTGTTTCCCCTCTGCAGGGCTCAGCCTGTGACGACTGCTTAAAAATAGCGTGCTGCTACCCCTGCGTGTGGTGCCAGATGCATCGAGAGCTGAAGCTCAGGGGCCGCAGCCAGTCGGGCGACAACGTGGTCACCGCTCAAATCGGCTGAGCTTAACGCGCCGCCGACTCAGAGGCGGCGTGTCGAGTTTGTCTGAAATGTCCTGCAGATGCTTCAGGTGGACCGCAGTTTAAAACATGTGTTAGTTTAGTGCTATTCAGCAACATTTTCTTTTGCTACTTCTCGAAGGTTTTGGAATTATAAAGCGAATGCCTCTTACTGGCGTATTTAGCAGTCTGTGTTTTCTAACAACAGGATTGACGTTTCTGACTTTTGTTCCTCAATAAAATACTTTTTGCAAATCTTCTCTCTTTCTCGCTAAAATCTCCCAAAACTCTGTGTGTGTGTGTGTGTGTGTGTGTGTGTGTGTGTGTGTGTGTGTGTGTGGGTGTGTGTGTGTGTGGGGGTGTGTGAGTGTGTGTGTGTGTGTGTGTGTGTGTGTGTGGATTTAAAGGAATTGAACTTTGGATTGCATTCTGACACTGAACATTAACAAAAGGCAAATGCGGCGCTTTACTTTAAATGAAAAACATGTTTTTTTGGGGTTTTTTTTCTTCTAAGGTGAGGAACTGGTCCAAATACCCGTCAATTTGTATCCAGATCTTTCACTTTTAACCAAGACACCTGAAGATTAAGAAAGAAACTATTTCCTCGGTGTAATGTTTCGACGGAGCATTCAGCAAATTCGGTCAAAGATTGGCTTCAGCTTGAGAAAATATTTCCACTCCTGACGTCCAGAGGCGACTCTGACAGAAAACCTCTAGGGACTCTGTCTGCAGACGGGAAACGTTTCCACAATCTGATGAACGTTTACGAGATAGAACAGGCGGATACTGCCGAGACGCTGGATGCTGCTACAATGTAGCAAAGTGTTGAGATTGAACCAAAATTTGCTTCAACTATTTCAGTTGAAAAATATACGTGCATAAGTGTGCACGCTTATGCAACCAGTTTATTTTAGCTAGCTCGTTTTGAATGTTTTTTTCCTTCCATCTAACGTATTTGTTTATCTTTATGGAAGCCCATTTCCGCCACTCTGATGGAAAAAAAAAAAAAAGAACCCAGCTTGTATCTCATAATTATGTTTTGACTTGAATTGGATTCCCGTAAGGAGACGGATGAGACAAGTTTGGATGGATAGAAACAAATGGATGTTGCTCACATCACTGAGAAATACTGCAGGAGAAGATTTACTAATCTTGCAATCTTACAAGTTTTGGAAGAATCCCATAAAGTCAAAAAAGAGGAAAACTGCAAAAGGGCTAGCTTTAATATATTTTAGAGTAAAATTTTATGAGATAAATGTTACATTTTATGTTTTAAAAAAAAAAGAGTTTAGAAATGTTTTAACATAATCACAAAGATAAGTCCTTTTAAGGAGCCGCTGTGTTTTGCCATGAATTATTTCCAGTTTGGTTTTGTTTCAACAGATAAGATGCAAATTATGAACTTTTTTTTTTTTTTTATCCTCGCAAACACATGGAGACGAAAGGAGAACCATCCTCCTGTGCAAAGTGTCTCCATCGTTGTGCCTGTAGTTTCCATGGCGACCAGATAACGACCAGCGCAGCAGGAAAAACGTTGAGTAGCACAACAACCGCTTTGTTTAGCTCCCTGCATCTACATCCATCTGGGTTCACAGGAACTACAGATTTGACGTCTTGTTGGTGTGAAGCCCGTTTCGAGCCCCTCTGCTGGTGAACAAGGTAACTTTTTTGTTTTTTTGTTTTTTTGTTAAATAGTTGAACTGCTGCATCCTTTGGCCTCCGAATGAAGAAATTTGCAAATCACATGTGAAAGTGGAATCTGATCCAACTGCAGTGGAAAGATAACATGTAACATAATAGTAAATAGATCATAAAGAGGAAGTTGCTGTTGTTAAGTGGCTACGTGTTAAGTTAATAATTATTTAGTTTTATTTGTTTCTGGCCAGGTATGTAAATCTGAACTAAAGTCATAAACTTGTCAGATAATCCATGTTATCAGCATGAAGTTCCTCCTCTGAATAACTGTAAAGCTACCTCACTTCTCACGGAGATGGGAGTTTGAAATCATCATATTGGATTAGTAAACACTGGTAAATCTGAACCAACCAAACTGCTGAGTTTTGTTTTGCTTTTTCCACTTTTTGAATTTTACCAATCGTATGAAAGTATGAACTTCTACAAATTAAACATATTTTTATGTGGCACAGATGGTTCACAGTTTGTTTTTAACTGATTGCGACAGTCTAGTGTTGGGTGTTTTTGTTTTGCAGTATTTTGAGCTGTAAAGGTATTTTTACAATCTATAAAGTTAATGTGAATACAGGTTTTTTTCTTCTTATTTTAATTAAACATCTACATTGAATTAAATAATATAGTTTTATTGTTTTATTTCTTAAATGTCTTATAGTTCCTGTACATATATACCTGTCTCAGACTGTATCTCTGTGCAAATGACAAAACTCTTCAACAAAAAAAAAAACAAAACAGTTCCCTAGTAATTCATCTCGTTTGCACAGGTGTCGATCTGAATCTGTGCCTTCAGTTGTGCTCCACCAGGGGGCGCCGTTGAATTACAAAAAGGCCATTCAGACCCAGATGTGGGAGTAAACTGCGATCTCTGTTTATCTTTGCTGTTCATAAAACACACATAACAAAGTAAACTAAATTAATTACTCAGAATTCATTGCGGCTATCTTATTCTCTGCAATATATTTCAGCTTTGGCCTCGTTTGCTTTCAAATACTGATGTATGATTAATGTCAATGTTTAACAGCTGCTTGTCAGAGAGCCGAAAACGCAAAAAGCCACTTGAGCGTCCAGTCGGTGTGGTGACGTTTCGAGCCGCAGCCTCTCTGCAAGCAGCGGCGCTGAGAGAAAAAAACAAAACAAAAACGTTTTTCACAGGAAGCAACAGCGAGGAATGGATCAATCAACAGGTGCTCGGTTCTCATCAACCTTTACTGACTTTCCACACAGACAGGAAGCCGCTGTGTTTTCCTCTTACGCTCATTCTTAACTGAAAGAGGAAGTTTCCTCTCCCCCATCTGGGTGCGATCGCGCACCGCGTCTCCAGTCCCGTGTTGCTTGAGCGGCGAGCAGCGGGCTCCTCTCCGCCATGAACGTCTACCAAGAGGCGCTGAGCTACCTGGAGTCCCACCATGCTGCAGGTGAGGAGGAGGAGGAGAAAGAGGAGGAAGGATGCAAATGATGCACTTTATCTTGCTTTGACAGCACATCTCTCTGGTGTCATTTCACGCGGAGCTTTTATTTTTATTTTATTTTATTTTTTATTTAAAGGCGGCTTCCTCGTTGTTGCTGATTGCTTGTGTTTATTCCGCTGTGAAAAGCAGGAGGAGAGGGCCTGGAGGATGTTTTCCATGAGGAGGCGGTCTCCTGTTTCCTCTCCCCTCTCTGCTCTGAGAGCATCGACTTCCCGGACACCCCGGTGAGTCTGTCCCGCATCCCAAATGTCTCATCACGTCACTCAGTGGACGCCCTTGGGTTTCTTGTTGTCTCTGGCGGGCAGTTAAGTCTTTCAGTGATTTAATTTCCCATAATGCCAGCAGGGATACGATGACGCGTTCAAGGGCCAAATGGAAAACACACACAGGACCCTTGATGTTTCTGAAACCTTCAGCACCAAGTGCTCTACACGTACCGGAGAAATATTACGCTTTCACCGTATGTGCGCTCATGTTTTGTGACAAACTTTAGTTTGCCTTATTCAAAGCAAACGAAGGCTGAACGTAAATTGCACGGTAAATAACAGGCCGCTGCACTGATTGCAATTCCTCTTTGGATTATTACTTCCTCTTTCCTTCTTCCATGTTTTTTTTTCCTTTTGGTTGTTTTGGAAACTGTAGTTCTTTAATATAAGTGACAAGAACCAGGGTGAGTCATGAAATACCAAATTAAGATTTATTAGAAATGAGGACGTAATTTGACGTAATGGAATGTTCTCACGTCTTTTCCATATTGCACAGTGGCTAAGGCAAATTAGTCCTGTGTTAAGACACTTTTACATAGCAGGACAAAAAGAAAAAAATAATTAGGTTTTTCGATGCTTTTTGAATTTAAAAAAGCAAAAAAATAATAAAAAATAAAAATAAAAAATGCTTCGGCGCCAACAAGAGTGACACAGAAGAGTTAGTTCTTCTTTCCTTCTCTTTAAAAATATCTTCTTAAAGAGAAACTGCTGCTGCAGTAACAGATATGTATTTATTTTAAGAATTTCCAAACATTTTTAGTCAAGGGTGCAAATAAATGTGGAGAGTGCTGTGTTTCCAACAGAGTAGAAGCAAAAAATACAAAAACATACACTTAATCAAGAATAAATATCAAAAAGACGTTACAAAAAAAGCACAATACATTTTTAATAATCAAGAAAGACTTTCACAATAAAAGCATGGTGTTATTTGTTGATTTTTATGTAGGAGATGTATCAAGAGGTCACACAGATTTCACATGAGAAGGAAAACTGATAACAGCTCTATCATCTCTGCTTTTAAGGAATCTCTAATAGCAACATGAATAATGGGAAGTAAAATAAATATTTAAAAAATGACCAATAAAGATATCCTCTTGGAGTAAAATTTAATCAGCCAAAGGGTGCCACACAGTTGTCCGTTTTTCACTGATTGGCTGATGACCTCCACCTACATCCACTTATGCAAAGCGACTACCTCGGGAAAGCTGCAGGGAAAATATAAACGAACGGATGCAGATAAACATCTCAAACTGTGTTTGAGCCTGAAGGCATCGTTTTCGACAAAGTTCAGACAGCAGCTGCTGAAAACCAAAACAGAAGAACTTAAAGTTTATTTAAAGCAGCCGAGAAGCTGAACTCAGCCAGTGACAAAAGGTGCAGCGATGGTCAAATGTTTACATACACTCACCAAAGGTGATTCATTTTGGCCTTTTAATGTGACTCATGCTTTATGCAAAGCGTTACATGACCAACAACTGCAAACTGTAAAGCAATGACGGAGTGAAGTAGTTTGAAGTTACTGTGTTTTTTTCTTTTTTCTTTTTCATGCAAACCAGCTCAAACATTTACATACTCCCCCAACAAAATTTGGTTAAATGCCTGTTAGCGAGTTGCAAATCTACCACGTTGTGTTTGTGGCCATCAGCAAGTGACCGACAACAACAGATTATGCTATCGCCATCGTGTTCAACATAGTTCTGATCTCTAGACAGATAAATTTACGTCTCATCCGACCACATACTTTCTTGCCAGTAGATACTTGGCTTCTCTCTCTCTCTCTCTCTGTGTGTGTGAAGGCGTCGTTTTGGAGCAGCACTACCACCCTCTCAGTCGTTGGTGATGTGTAATTTCCATGTGGTTTTCAAAATCTTCTAGTTTATGTCAGACCAGAACCTGTGATGTGGGGTGTTTGTGGAAATCCTAACCAGCTTTCTCTCCTCGGAGGTGGCAGTTTGGGTCAAACGGATGGAAATCGGACACAGATGAGTGCTGAGGCAGAACAAAGATCCCAAACACTGATATGAACTTTGTCAATGGTTAAAATACAAGAGGTGCATGCAAAATTTTTACCAGAAGCTAGAAGGCGGCTATAAAAAGTCTGTGTTTTTTTTTCTGCACATTGCTGAAGAATATTTAACCAAGTATTAGCATGGGGTGGTACAGTTAGAGCATCTACACATATATCATATTAAACCCAAAGAAATCGCATGAATTCCTTGAAGTTGCGTCGTCATTTCACCCTGGACAAAAACCTTAAAAAAATCATTTTGAATCCCAAATCAATTTTAACCTGTTGGTCTCAAGTTGTCAGGACCCAAATTTGGGTCCTCTAGTGACAGACAGGTTAACTCTTGATGCCTTTGATGTGCGCATGCAAACGTCTGACCAGATCTATAAATAAGTTGACGGATTTGCTTATCCAAATTGCTTTGAGATGATTCACCTGAGAGATCTCAGCTATCCATCTCACGCCTCACTGGTAGCGCCGCAGTTTGTGCGGCAGCATCGCGTCCATTTCACTGACTGATTTCATGCATCTCTCCCAGACGTCATGCAGCCGCGAGGAGATGCTGGAGAAGAGGCTGGTGGTCCTGAGGGGCATCCTGGAGAGCGAGGAGGTGTACCTCAGGGAGCTGGACGCCCTGCTGGCGGTAACGCTAACGAATTCTTGTTTCTATCATTTTCTTTTTCCACACACTTTGTTTTCAGTCTGACCACAGTATATTCTTACCTAACCTCTAAACCAAATCATGCAAATGAAAGTTTGTTGCACTCAAACCCTTAATGCACACTTATTTGAACCCCCCCCCAAATTGGCTCATTGCTGCATAACTTCCTTTTTATTGTTCAGCTACTTGTGAAAAATTAACCGTTTGAGTCAGCGACACCCCCCACCACCACCACCACCGCTTCATGTATTTAATTCATGCATGTATTTGTGGAGCTGAAGGTAATCTTTCATTTTGTGTTTGGACTGCGCTCTGTCTGAAAATGGATCCAAACGGCTGTTTCAAGCAGCGCTCGGCCAGATGTCACTTATTACACCAAACGTGGCTGCTTCCCTCTTTGTGGATTGTTCAACCATTGTATATAAGGTTCCCCTTTTTCTTAAAAAACCGAAGCAGTTCTCAGCTAATGTGACTTCATCTAAAAATAAAACACGGGCGATGTGCGGAAACATTCAACGCCTATTTAAAACCAAACACTTAAGATCTCGATTGACAAGTAAATTCAGTTTGTGACTTGATCTTTTCTGTATGAGGAAGCAATATAAGTTTATTCCTGTCCATTAGTCTGAATTATGCAACAGTAATTTCACTACTAGCTGCTGCACAGACATGGAGATGACAAACAAAATTCCTGTTTTTGTTACAAGAAATGACAGAAAATGTTGATGCGGAGTGCAGAAAAGCAGAGCTGGAACGGTTTAGATCAAAACGTGTTGATTTTTACACACTATCAATCAAATCAGACCGAGTTTAAGCTTTTTTGTAAAGAAAAATGTAAGTCTTTTTGCAAGGGGCTCACCAATTGATCAATAAGTCCTTAATATTGCATCCTGAATGGTTAGGGACCTTTTTGATGCACTTTTTAGTCTTTTATTTTTATTGATAGTTGGGCAATAAAGTCTGGTCTGTCTGTCTGTCTGTCTTTCTGTCTGTCTGTGGCATAATGTGGCGTCATAACAGTTCTGGTCAGTTATGAAAAAGATGTCATTTGTGGAAAAACATAAATCAGTATTAGTAAAAATCTTTTTTTGAACATCGGTGATCGGCCAGTAACCGCAGTCGGTTCACTCTTGCTCTAGAAACGGTGTCAGTACTTTTGCAGCCCACCATGACTTTCGGACAGGTTGTTCAACCTGAAAACCATTCAGGATGATGAGTTGCACCAGCTAAAGTAGCAATAAAAACTGTTTGACGGTGTTTGGAGGGCAGCAGCTGGGCGTGTCTATGCTAGATTTCTCCAAAGCTGAGTTTAGACACCCAGACGATCACTTGATGCCGTTTCTCTCCCATGCAAATCTTTTACGCACAAGTGAGCGTGAGAACACAGACGGACTCGTAAATTAAAAAGAGTTTCATCTCACGAATAAACAAAACTTTCTCTCTGCCACAGCCTAGAACAACGTAAGCAGCACATGCATCAGCAGCAGCAGCAGCAGCAGCAGCTTCCTGTCAGACCTGCTGTTTTGCATTCAGGCCAAAACGTTCGATTTGATCTAACGCGTTCAGAGCAAAGCCAACATCCCGAGAAGTTCAACATCCCCACAAGCCCAATCCCATCTTCAGCTGTGCATCATTCAGACCTCTGATAAGGAACTCCCACAGCATGAACACAGAGCTGGACACCAGCAGCGTATTTCCCCTTTCAGACAGGAAATGATGGTGCAACAATGAGAGCATGACGCATTCAGGGCCAATTTCTTCTCTCTCTCTCTTTTTTCTTTTCTCTGCTATTAACAGCGGCCACTGCCGTTTCCCCATTCTCATCGGGCGTAACGCGCTGAAGAAAGAGAGAAAACGTTTTCTGTGTGTGAAATAAAGTTAAATAAAACGTCTAGTGAGAAGGTGAATGCTTGTGGTTTTGCTCAGCAGTTTGCATGCATTAGTCATGTGACTTTGTTATCACCGTGAAAACACGTCGCATTATACTGCCATGTAAGAACTGAACTCTGCAGATGTGTGTGTGTGTGTGTGTGCTCTCAGCGCTCGCTTGTCTGCGTGTTGTTCACAACTTCAGACCCATTTTCTCCTTTTTTTTATTTTAGTGTGTTATTTTTACCAGTTGGCCCTTAGCTTTATTGAACTCAATTTTTATTTTTTTTTTTAAAGTTTTTTATTTAAATTTTTTCTCCGCAGCCCATGAAGGCTCTGCGGGCCTCGGCCGGGACGTCCCAGCCGGTGCTTTCCAGTCAGCAGGTGCAGACGGTTTTCTACCAGATCCCGGAGCTCAAAGACATTCACCAGAGCTTTTACTCCGGCCTGAAGGCCCGACTCGGCTCTCACACGCCGCCGGACGTCGACTCCGGTCAGGAAACGGTGACGTCGTGCAGCAACTCTGAGCTGGAGATGGGAGACCTGTTTCTGAAACTGGTACGTTTGCTTCTGCCCTGGGTGCAGCTACACTTCCAGTCTCATCACAGATTTTCAGTTGTATCTATTATGGCTGCACTTTGACTAGGCCGTTCAAACACATGACTACCCTTTTGATCTAAATTGCACCAGTGAAGCTCTGGCTTCATGTTTAGTGCAGGAAGTCTTTTTTTTTTTTTTTTTTTTTTTGTTCCAAAAGGTTTTTTTCCGGGGGTTTTTTATTTTTAGCTTTGTGCTGCCAATT